CACTCACTCACTCACTCAGTCACTCACCCGGACTTGAAAAGGATATTGGAGGTGCCAGCTGTCAAGTCAGCAAGGGACAGGAACTGGGGTGGGGAAGAACGGCATCCTCTCCTCCTCTCCTCACCATGCCTGTCTCGGAGCAACAAGAACATCTCTCTAGTGGCACGCCTCCCATTTGGAGTGATGATAATCTGGTCAAAGACCGTGAGGTCCCTGGGTAGCGGTAGCGGCTACGACTGACTCTCCAGGAGCCCATCGTTGGAAGATGTTAGAAGACCAAAATCCAATTGGAAGCGCTCCCATCCTTTCCAATCAACCTTGCTACCGCATCATCTTTCATCCAGAACCAGGGGTTCCGAAAAACGCTTACATCGCAAAAACCTGGGCATCCAGCGACACAGCATGCCCGAGTTCAGCGTCTGTGCGCAAGGCTTCCTGCAGTCAACAGTGGGCCGGCGCAGGAGAAGACCAAGGATAATGAATACAATGTTTGCACGCCCCCGTGGTCAACCAAGCCCGATGTTCAACTAGAACCAAACGCACCTGACAGCGTGCTCCCCAGGAGAAATAGATCCTGACAGCAAGGTGTCTCAGAATCCACGAAGCGCTGGGCGTTCCGGGGGTATGATCAAAAAAACAAACGAGCAAGGCCTGCCTATACTGGTACTTCACCAGCGTAATTGCAGTATTCATTGCAAGGATTGATGAAGAGGCCACTGGCTGATCCTCAGAAGGTCAAGCACATGCTATGAGAGGAGAAAGGTCGGGAGTAAAGTTGCAAGAGTGAGCAGTTGTAAAAAAGCACGACACTGTGTCAGTATCTCACATGAGTTTGCTAAACCGGCTTGGTCTCTGACGTAGTTGAAATCACGCAGCACTGCCCCTACAAACAACTGCCCGCGAGGCGCCTCGTGAACATCCAATCAACAGCTGGACACAAAAAGGTCACACCTGTTGTTTTCCATTTGTTCAAAGTCTTCTTTCCAGTCCTGGCATCCACTTGCTACGAATCGTGGGTGTTTGATGGTTTCTTCAAGACTACGAGGCCTTCTTGGACCTCACAGCTTTTGGGAAAAAAAAGACCTTCACTCCAAGTGACCAGAACCCTCCATATCGCACCGGCTCCGTCGCGGGGACGGGAGCGCAGCACGGGGAGCGCGCCACGGGCGGGGCCTTCTTGAACTTCCCCTGGAGCCGGAGCTCCCAGTTCCGCTTCCGATGACGGAAGTGCTCATAGTAGGGATGGCCCCGATCGAGCCTCAGCGGCTGACCCCTTTTTCAGTGGCACCAGTTCAGGCGACAGCTGGACCGATTCTTCGCCAACTCAGCGAAGGAAGACAACATTGACAGGAAGTATCCAGTGAAATCCCGGTGTTCACCCTCAAACCTATGGGTCTTCTATATGGGTTGTTCTGCTTTCATGTGAACGATTTTGTTCACCTGTGAGCTCATGTGTTCGCCGTCCTGACCTCGGAATAAACTGACGAGGTCCGTCTATCACGTCTCGCGAAGCAGGCGAAGCCGGCGTTCGGCTTGGTCTGGGCTTCGAACCCTTCGGTGGGCCGATATAGGAGTAAGACCTCTCCCTTGAAGTTCTCGTTCTCAATCGGCACGGCCGCAGTCCTGAGTGGCGCCGCAGTCGTTCTTTTACGGCGCCGCAGTCGTCCTCGTCCTCAACACTGCGAAGCTCACATTGACTGGAAGGTGACCTTGTTGGCTCCTTGGCGAGTGGGCCTTTCTTTTGCCTGTGTCGAATAGGCTTCGAATGTGCTGTGACACGTGCCGTGCGCTTCCTGGGTGTCGAGGCAGCAAGGAAAGCAAAGAGGGGACGGGTGGACTCGGGTGGACCAGTGGACCTGGCTTGAAGCCTGCCCCAGTCAAAAGACATCGAAACACCGTGTTATGGCAGGAAAAGAGAACAAAACGCAGGTAGTCCTTGTTACTTGTGTCACACATCTTCTGATGCCCTTGCAGAAACAAGATGGCGATTGAGCAACAAGTGCTCGTGTCATGGGAAGCCATCTCGGAATATCACAGGCGGCCGCACGTGTTGCAGGGCACAAAGTGGGCACGAGGAAGCCTGGCAAATCAGAAACAGCCGCAGGTGCAATGACAGTTACAGACCTGGTGACCAGGTGCTACATCACTGACGTCCAAAATGGTACACCAATGGCCTCTACACGACCGGTCTAAGTCGGAGAAAGCCACGAGTCGGAACCACGAGAAGAACGTGACGACTCACGCGAACCTCCGTGTGCCGCCTACTCGCTAGCTTCGCTTCGGGCCTCGACCCAGTGCTGTTCCCAGACTCACAGTCGTGCACAATGGAGTACCTCCAGTCAGCACGGGCGCTCGGTGCCGCACCCGCGTAACGACACGAGGGTTCAGCGGAGGGACGACCGGCATCAGGGGCGAGTCGACCCGATGTTTCCCTGTTTCCTCACAAACGAGACGTCGACCCTGTCTGTCGACCCTCTGTACAAATGTGCCGTGAATCACCAAACGTCAAGCGTCAAGCATGGCGCTGTGAGCGCTTGAGCTATATCTCTTGGAGGTGGTGAAAGCGGCTGTACTGTGCTGTGCTCCATAGAAGCCTCAATGGAGGAAAGGTGTGACAAGGAATGTTTAGCGCCTGCTGATGTCGATACTATACTATATACAGTTATTTTTCTGTAATAGTATCACACGCCTTATGGAGCGTTCTTAAAAGCAATGGAAGGAGGCCCTGCTTTGCAGATCTCCTCGAGCTAAAACACCTTGAAACACAACTTGAAGATGCAGCCCGATGGCTCACACGGGTTCTTGAAACGAAACGAATTAGGTCTTTTCACGTCTGGAGACGAAGATGCATTCCATCCGGCCTCTCTGGAGGCACGTTCCCCAAAATCATCGCCACAACGACGAGGCACGTTCCACATGGTGGGTGCCTGGTCCGGAAGATCAGCGACGTCAAAGAGAACCCGGGCACCCATGAGCCTCGGACGGCCTCGGACGCGTTCAGAAAGGTTGAAAAAGGGATGGCACCGGACGGCCTCCCCGAAAGGAGCGGGATGTCTGGAAACAGAGAAGCCCAAAGGTATCTCAAGGTGGTATTCTTGATCTGTTTGATCCAAACTCCCTCATATCATCTCTGCATCTCTGTTGTTTAAACATCCCTATGGAAACACGGTGGAGACCACCCATGCCACCAGGACCTAGGCTGATACAGCACGTCTCCAGGGATCAATCGCATTGAGGTCGATGTTGTTCAGGTCGAAGTTCAAGTCAAAATCATCCTCCTCCAAGGCCTTCTTCACCGCTGGAGGTCGAGGTGACTTGGACGACGCACGCTCCTTGCTGGCATTTCTCTCGCCCTTCTCCTCCTCAATGGTCTTCTTGTCCACCTTCCAAGCACCTGCACCTTGTGGTCTCAAGCTGTTGGAGCCGAACGGCGCCATCTCCTCTTTGAGCGCCTCCGCCACTGCCATCTTGCGCAGAAAGGCGGTGCGGCCCACGGTCGCCAACTCCTTGCCCATGCGAGCTTGAAAGTGGCGATCTTCAGGAAGCTTCGCTGGTGCCGGGGGCACCAGCTGCTCCGGACCGTGCCTGGGAGGTTTTTGGAGGTCCAAAATGTTCATCTTCTTCAGCTCGGGATACGCTCCCGGAATCTCGGTGTCGGGCAACGGAGCGGCATCCTCGCTGGGCAGCACTGGAGCAGGATCATCGGCCGCATCACGGTCTGAGTCACTGGAGGACTCATGAGATCCTCCCCAGGCGCGTTTGGGCCTGAAATTGCGTCCAGTTCTGCGCTGCTGCATTCTTCCGACGCTCCTCAGCTCCTTCTTCTTATGATCCGCCCTCTTGGCGAAGTATTCCTTCTCTTCGGGAAACCTCTCCAAGATCGCTTGGAACACACGGTTTTTCAAGACCAGGCACTCGGTATGTTCTCTCGCGATTGCTGAAGTACTCCTCCGAGAGAATCCAAAAACGGCTGAATCACCACAGTGGTTCCCTCGAGACAGAATCTCCACATCCGAGATATCGGAGCCCTTAGAGATGACAATACTCCCGGAGCAAATGAAGTACATGCTGAAACCCATTTCACCTTCTTTGAAGACATAATCCTGCTTTTCAAACCTCTCTTTCTCAAGCATCTTTGCAGTGGTTTGAAGAAACTTCAGGCTGGTGCCCTCAAAGAAGGCATACTCCGCTTTCTTGGTCTTCTCGTTGTATAAGCGCGGCGCTGCTTCAAATGTGCTGGCCGGCCGGTGCTGCATTTGGCACCCTAAATGCCCTTTAAAGGGGTCAAGAGCCACATATCTGCCAAGCAGGTTGAAGAGAATGAGACTTCCCAACTGACAGACTCCTTCCCAAAATCTCTCTTCAGTGTTTTTGACCTGGGACATTGTATTGATTTGCCGTTGGAGGCACTTTGCTCAAAACCTAGGTCCAAGAGCGGAACCCTTTTTGGTCGGCCACCCCGCGCCGAAAAAAAATAGAAAAAGGCCATGAATCGATCATCTCTGCTGAGCAGAGCACGCCAGAAGGTGTGTCTTCCCGGGCAAACTCGCAATGTGGCGACCTGGGTGCTTTCGGGGGGAGATGCACCTGGAGTGGTCGGGCGTGGGTGTTGCTTTACGGTTCACATGGTTCTCTTCCAGCTGAATCTCAGATCACATGACCCCAAATCATCTCCCATCAGCGGCATGGTAGCTGGCAAGTCATGCAAAACGACCTTGCTTCCAAACCCCCATGGTGACTGCCACGGCTGGGGCGGCCGGCTGACCAAGCGTTTGCTTCGCGCGGAATCGCTGTGCAGCGACTCTTCCAAGGCCTGACAAAGATGGTGTGTCTCGCCACGGTCCCCCGTTGGTGCTTCCCAAGCAATCCCAGGAGCCGACCCGATTACTTGGGTTGTCCACTGGGACTCTTCATGACTCTTCATGTAGAATCTGGATCCATAAAACCACCCCAGAACCACATGGTAAAACCTCTTCACATGGAAGGTTTCATGAATCAAGAGTCTACCTTAGGGCCATAACAGTCCAACAACCCTCGCAGGAGACCTGTTGAAGGCTGACTATCGGAGGTTCATTCTTCAACTCCGCGCCACCGCGTCGTTGCGCTGCGGCGCCTCTGGTGAAGGCCCTCTTTGCCTGGGCGCAGCGGAACCCGTCTCGTCTCTCCACTCCCGGACCCTCCGAAGGCAGCCAACGCCCAACGTCCGGACGGCCTCCGCCCCCCGGGCCTGGAGGAGCGGGTACGACATGAGGAGATGACATCCCACCAATGGTTCGGCGTGTACGGCACCACCTGAGCCGCAAGACCGGCGCTCCCCGCGGCGCTCCCCGCCCGCGGCGTCGAAGGCTCGCGAGCGGCGGTTTCAGCGCTCGCTCCTTTGGGTTCCACGGCACACCCGTCGGGAGTCGACCAAGGCGCCGGACCGAGCCCGAGGCAAGTTGTGGGTCACTGCGGTCACTGCGTTCGGAACAGCATTGCCTTAGTGCGGTCACTGCGTTCCAGGTGGAAAAGGAAGGGCCCACAGCCCGGGGCGAGGGAGTGGGAAAATCGTGGTCCTGGTCAGTGGTGTTTTCGCACTCAGAGGGTTGGACCCAAGATACAGAGACACGCAGCCGGCGTTGAGATCATCCTCCAAATTGGAATCTTCTTCTTTGCTAGCCGCTAACCGGAACCATCGCCAAGTCTGTACCTATACTGAGCAATCACTCGCAGTTCTCACTCTGTGTGGCAGTGTGCTGAAGGAACACATCTGAGGAAGGCCAAATCTATTTTGGAACTCTTACGCAACGAGACAAGCTCCTCCCTCCTCTCGTCCTCAGGGTTCCATCAATCACGGATGAAGGAGCAGATACAGTCAACAAAAGGAAACCCGAAGAATCCTGACAAAATGAGCCAAGCTCCGGGGATTTTGCCTGAGCCCGTCTTTTTTCTGCCGATGAGGGCTTCCAAACCTCTGGGGGTCCCCCTATCCAAGTACGGGTCCTTGTGCCAGAAAAAAGGAAAGTCAAACCAGAACCGATTCGAGCAACCGCATGAATTAGACTCTTTTTTGCGGGCAAAAGTAATACTACTTCGCTCGGAACCAACGAGCTGTCCAACGATTTCCCGGACTCTTCATGCCGTGAGTTCAGTTCGTTGAATTCAGTCCGAGAGGTCCAAAGAAGGATTCCCAGCGAGACCTTCTGTTCACATGTTGGAATTTGCTTCCTGGGTGAGAAATGGCACCTGGCGCCCTTTCTAGATGTTTTTAGCCGGTGTGGATCCTTCCTCCAGCACCAATGTAGTGGGGATTGTGCCATTTACTCTGAAACCACCGTAGTTGGTGGACGATTTCACCCCTTCATCGTCGACTCCATGATTTAAAAAGAGGAACGCACGGAAAAAACCGGGTTCCCCGGCATTGAGGAGGGCGGAATGGCGGCTCTGCGATCAATCAATGGCTCTCCATGGGTCGTGTGACGGTATTTCAAACAGCGGAAACGCCCGAGAAGGGAAAAACAGGAGACTTTTGGTGAATAACTCTCGGTTTGATGAGATGATAACTCTCGGTTTGTTTGATGAATGATTTTGATGCGATGATGCCACCATTTGGATGAAATTCGATGAATAACTCTCGGTGGCATCCTCGACACGGAGCTCTCTCTGACACCTGACACCTCTGAGCTGGTCAGCTGGTCGATGTGTGTGTGTAGAGCTGCGGAAGCTGGTCGACTAGAAGCATGTACCGGCCCACTGATTCGTCGCGAACGAAAGGAGCGGCTTCTTAGTCTTCGCCCAGGCTGTTGTATCTGCTTCGGGCGAACGCAACTGTTCATCAAAGCAGGGAGCTAGGACATCTCGCGCAGCTACGCTCTTGAATGACCAGGGTATCCTGCTCACTAAGTCACTAATTGGGACTGGCCATGACTAGCTTTGAATGTTGTGTCTGCCGGTTGCTTCGAGCCAGAGCGGGGCCAAAAATCACGGCGCGTCACGCGTGGAAAACAACCAGTACAAGGACTACCCAAACTGACTCACGCGAGACATGGAGAGCCCAGACTCGGCGTGGCGCGAGTGTCACCGCATTTGTCTTGGGTCGCCCCCAAGCCAGCGCGCGCGAGTCTGATAAAGCCTGAGATGCCGAAACGAAAACACCTCAGCAGCTGATCTTCAGACTAAATAGCCGAAAAATCAGGGTGTTCCCGGTGCTAGCTCGAATAGAAGCAACAAAAAAGGAAGCATCAGAAGTTGAACCAAGGGAAACAAACTACCAACAGTTACAATCACGCCACTTCTGTAGGGGGAACAAATCCTGATTTAGAGCTGGAAAATTGATTGGAAGCGCATCCAATCATGTCGGTGTCATCAGACACGTAAATCCTAGGCCCTAAGCGCTCTTGTATACTGCTACATGTCCATGTTCCATGGCTCTGTGATTGGTCGACTGTTGATGTTGCATTTACCCAAGCTTCTCCATTGAGCTTTGCAGCTCGAACCGTGAATTCCTCCTGCTCAGGAAATTCTACAGCAGAAGCAGGGAAGAGTTGGCTCAAATTCTCCAAAAGCTCAGTTAATGTTTCTTGGAAGAGTGTTTATCTCAAAACTCCTGGTACTTGAACTTGTATAGTAGCTGGAACAAACATAAATTTAAGACTATGATCAGTTGTTGCATTTGCCATCTTGTCTTGTCAGTGCATCAGGCTTGTCTAGTCTTCGAGCTTGACCTGCAGCCAGGTCGGGAGTGACAGTGTCTGTGCTTTTCTTGAGATACAAGAATATGTAGGTACATCTTTTGTACATCTTGTTTTTGCACATGCCAGTACTGCCCATCAAAAAACATATAGAGTCTGCAGAGAGCCCAGGTGAAAAGTATCCAAAAAACAAAAACTCTTCCGTTCCTATTACTTCCGAGCAAGTTCACCGTTGCGTCGCCGGGAAAAAGGCTGTAGTAGAAAAATGCATGCGCACGGGACAGCCAACGACAATCCCAGCACCAAAGAGGTACAGCACCGATGCGATAAGGTATAGACCTGGAGCGAATACAAGAGAAAGGCTGACCCGGGGGTCAGCCGCCCAACGTTGGTAATGATGGACACCAACGCAAGCTGGTCAGTGAAGCCAAAGCCGTAGAAGATTGAGTCCAGCAGAGCAGCAAACATGTAGAAGAAATAGACGGGCAAAAGCCATTGGACAATACTTAGTGCCATTGAGGGATCTTTCACATTGAGGACCACGTGAAAGAAGCTTGACCAAGAAGGTTTGCTGATCATCCAGATCACAAAAAGAATTAGAGGAAGTACCAAATATGCAGGTAGAATGTCCCAGTGTGCCGAAAAGGGCAGGAGGAGCCATTTCCACATGAAGTTACTTGCAAGCCAATAGCTTCCAGACTGGTTCAACACATTCACCATCCGCACGATGAAGATCATGTAGCTAAGGTTCTGCAAGGAAACCAGCAAGTCCGGCCCATCGACCCCCACACCACCATTTCATGAGCCAGGTCCAATTGAAAGGGGGAACAAACAATTTCGGGAGGTAGCGCAAAGCAAGGAGAAATAGCAAGGTGTAGGTGCAAGTGGCTGAGATGGCCAGACCAAGGACTCCAAAGCGGAAGGAGCCAGGGAGTTCGCTTGCAAAAAGATAATCAAAGAAAATGGTCAAGATGGTCTGCAATACGGTCATGCCAAAAATCACTTTGTCCCGCTTCAGCAAGACAAAGATGACATGCGTGAAAGTCTGCAATCCCCGACTCACCGCTGCCACCCTCTCCCAACGGATGTAAGTCACCGTAGCAGTTCGGAGGTCCCCCTGGGGAGCCATACCATCACAAGTGGCTGCGCAAATATAATGACCAGAAAGGCGAAAGAACCATAGCACATCAGAGTGACCACAAGGCCAGTGAACACACCTTGTTTCGGGTCATCGTCTCTTGACTAATCATATCTCCAACGCAAGAGTACAGCGGAACAATCAACGCCTCCTCCATCACCTTCAGCAACAAGCTCACCCAGTAGAGTTGTGATGCGACGTCCAAACCACTGGCCGCCGGGCAGCTGTCCCAGAAAGTAAATCCTACTCATCGTGTACGCTGTTGGCAACACATGCTTGACCAAAAGCGCTGCATAGAGTTGCCAGTTCAATGATTGGAAGGATTGAACCACCCAGCCGACTCCACCTGACACGCCAGACCTCACATCTTCACCCAACTCATTCTCGGCCGTTCGTGTGACCAGCTGTGGTTTGATGCTACGCTTCCCGGCCTTCCAGCCACTGGCTATAGAAGCTGCGACTGCCGCGAAGCCGCAGAGATTCCGCGGCGAAGCCGCCGGAAGGAGGGCGATGCGTGGAAACGCAGCTCGACACGGTTGAGCGGAAGCTGACACAAAGCTTGTACCACCATCTGCCGCAGATTGGGAAGCAGGTGCCATCATGGCATATGCAAGAAAATCAGAAACCATGGATGACTGTACCATCGAACCCCATCTTGAGAACTGCTTTGCTCACACGGCTTTAGGCTTCAGCCGCTACTATATATATATATTATATATAATATTTGTGTATGTATATATATATATATACGCGTTTTCACAAACATGTGCAATGTGTACACACACACAACAAATACTCTCCAGATGATGTAGCACCGGTTTCTAAGCCTCTCTGGAAGTCACCTGCATCATCTTCCACCTTACCTCGTGCGTCTTCCCTTTCCTTGCACCCCTCCGACCCCTCCCAATCCGACCAGAACCACCAGCCACACATCACGCCACCGGTTCACCAGCCGTTCACCGCCTCGAAGAAGCCGCCCCACTTGAGGCCGCATTGCATGGTCCGCCCGGAGATCGTCCCGGGCCTCGCTGGCTGCTGGTCAAGCCGTCTCACAACGTGAGCGCCGCCCATGTCTTTGAACATGAATTTGATGACCAAAACCATGCTTCTCCATGCTTCTCCTTCTTTTGGTACAAAAGCTGCAAACCATCTTGCCATGCGAAAAGGCATCCCAAATACGTTCAAGAACGATGCAGAAAAGGCGATTCTTGCTAAGGCTCGGCCTTATGGCAAGTTGGCAGGCTTTCCAGTCGCCTTCTGAGTCGCTTTTTCTTTCCGAGGCCATGGCCCTGCCCCGTTCAGAGTGCCATTCAGCACCGTGTCGAGGTCCTGCAGAACCCACGACGCCGAGAGACGCGGTGTGAGTCGCTCGCTTTCTTGAACCATCCTCCCATCTGAACCCAACCCATTCTCTTTTCGGGGCATCTTTCTCAGAACAACAATGAACATAAGCCCTAGGGATCCAGTCGTACCTTCTCAGAAGGCACTTGGACCCTCCAAACCCACCCCAAACACCGTACCTGAGAAGGTACTTGGATCCCTAGGGAAGAATAAACCTCGCGCGTCGCTTCGCTCCGGGTGGTCGTCGCGTGGTCTGCCGCGTCGCTGCGCGGTCGCTCCCGGAAGGCGATGCCAGTGTCATATCTGATGACCTGAAGCGGTCCGTTGTTCGGATGATTTCGGAGGAAGGATTCGGATCTAGCGTTGTTCTAGCCTATGACGCCAAACAGGCCTTGGTCCCCTCAAAAACCTTCAAAATCTAGGGATTGGTTCGACCCGAAATTCCCCAAACCCCTCAGAAAAAAGGGATTCAGGTCTGATCCCTCCATATAGTTCCCACCCTTTTCTAGTGCCATTCCAGCTTCAAAATCGTCCGATCGAGCACCAAGCATTCGAGATCCGAAACTGGAAGAAAGTGGATCAAAAGAATCGGTCTTCGCTTTCGCAGTCATCGGATGTTATCGGTCTGTATTCGGTCCTTCGGTTCACACCTTGCAAGGTCCTTCATAGGACTTCCGGGCCTGGCAAGGACCACCAAAAGAAAAACAATGTCTCAAAGAGGCTGTGCAAAGGAACAAGGACGCTACTAGGGGCTCCTGGCATCGCTACTAGGAACCAGAAGCTGCTAGGGGCTCCTGGCCGTACTACTAGTAACAAGAAGCTATTAGAAGCTATTAGACAAGGCCATGGAGATTCGAACGAATGACCACCCCCCAGTGTCCGCCGAGCCAAGTCCGTCCAATCGATGTCTCCGCGCCGCCCCGCAGTGTCGCATCAATCCTTACGACTCAACCTCAATCAGGGACCCTTTTTGGGATCTGGACGGAGCAACCAAAAAAGAACTTCTGAAAAACATATAAATAGAGCCTGAGTGACCTCTGTTTTTGATATAGGGAAATAGCATGATATACCCCGTTTGCTTTAGAAGCAAACATCCATGTCTTCCCCTACCCTCCGACCTCCGACGGCTCTCCGTCGCTTGCGTTTTTCTCCGTGGGCCGAGACCGGACCGAGACCGACGAGACGCGGACGCCCAAACGACCCGGCACGATGATCTGCCCAGATGATCCTGATCCAGAAAAACGCACAGTGGAAGGAAAAAAACACCATGAGGACCAAGTGTACAACATCTTAGGAATCCAATCTCCCCATCTGATAAGCCAAGAGTTGCTGGGGCACAACATGTTTTGGTATCAACATACGTCTTATGTATTTGCCGTCTCGGATGAGTGACAATGTCCAACACATTCGAAGACTTGCCTCACACCTTGGGTACACCTTTAATCCAACCATGCGGTCGCTTGTCACCGCTTAATCCACTTCATGTGAGCGAGAAGTCCCAACCACGATCACGAACGATCCAACACGAACGGATGCAAATGCTGCTTCGTTGACCTGCGAGTAGTCCCGTCTTCGGTCAACGAAGGCAGGTCAACGAAGGAGCATCGCGTCTCGCGTCGTCAAGGCGATCGGGTGGCACGCCGCCCGCGGTTCATGGAGACGTGTCCGGCCGTGTCGGGACCAGAACGGGCCGGACCAACGGACCAGAGAACGGGCCGAACCCGGTCACCGCAAGGGTTAAGTGCGACAGCTGGTTTGGCACCAAGATCATGTATATAAAGCTTGCATAACAGATCCTGTGAATGGTTCCTGTGGCAGCCAAAGAAGTTGAGCGCTTCGAAGGCGCCAAAGGATGCAGGACCATCGGAAATAGCATCGATATGGCAAAGCGATAAGGTCATGTTATGGAGAACGTGTACAATCTTCAGTTGTGAAGTGCTAAGCTGCCATCATGTTATCTCGTATTCCATAGCAAAAGTGCCACCAAAAGCCCAGTTCATAACATATCTCTAGCACTCTACACTCTTGTACTTGACATGTCCATATCCAACAAACATCAAGAAGGGTATGAGATGTTGAAACAGGGAAGCTATAACACCTATATGTTTCACATTCCAAACGTCTCCCTGCCCAACCATTCACCTTGGTATATCAAAACCGGCTCTTCCCAGTCGCCACACCAAAGACGTTGACGTTGTGCCCGAAGACGTCGCGGCGCGGGTTGTCGGCACCTTGAGCTTCTTGTTGGGGTCAACGATCTTCCAGGCACCCTCGTTGTCACCGGGACCAACCTGAAAGCGAAGACAAGAGTTGATTGAAAAACTGAGGACACCATTTCTTTGGATTGGTTCAAGGGAGAATCTGTAGGAAAATCATGGGGGTCCCCCAAAACTATGGGTTTGCCTGTAGACTCTCCCTTAAACCAGTTCCGGACTAATAATTGGTTGGAAGCTCACGATGTGTTTTGATCCATGCCCTGCCACTGGCCCTCAAGAAGTCCTTCCCTCCGGCAAGGCCTCCACCACTAAATCGAACTTTTGCCTGCTGGTAAGGACCTGATTTCACAGGCAGCGAAAGTAGACCATGTGAAGCAAGACAGCACCATGGACCCATAACGACTTGGACCCATAACGACTTGGTCTGGATCCAAGCGCTGAAGTGATTGAAAGTGTTCATACTTCTGTGCCAATTTCTACACTACCCTCCCAGCAAAAAAGCAAAAAGAAGTTGGGCAAGCGCACAGGATGCCGTATCCATCCAACAAAGCGGTCACCAGGGCTAACCTCAATCATGAGCAAACCCTGGAGCAAGGCCTCACAGAAAATGTCAAAGAGGAGTAACTACACCCTACACCTGATTCAAAATTACAGTAAGAACGCTTCATCCACACAACTTGGCAAATAGGCTAAGCGACTGACAGTGTCCAACTTCTGAGCATTCAGGGCAAGTCTCCCACTCCTGAGCATCAGTTCGATAAGAACCCATGAACTAAGGCTCTAGGGGGGACCAAGCCTTGCAAAGCTCGAGAGAGAAGCAAAGTCTTTTCGAGCGCCACATGCCCTGCCTCTGGAAATCTCGCGGAGAGTCGCCGACCCAGGCCTGTAAGCTGTGTGGTGCCATCGATGTTCCACATGAAAACGTCGTTGGGTTCATCTATGATGCCCCCCCAAAACAAAGACGGCCCCTGTCAAGAGGGTTCTCTTCAACCATCTTCTTGAACGCAAGTGACATGTCAGGCCGCACCTCTGTGCCAGCCCATAGGCCCAGTAAGCAAACAGCCCACCTTGAGGTCTCGTCCATGTGCCGAAAGAGAATGCGTTTTTCTATAGAGGTCACAAATATTCCCAAATTCTATATATTCAAACAGACTGTTCTAGGGAGAGGCTTCAATATTCTATCTACTTTAGGGTCATGACATGATGGATTCCTTCTTCTGATTAAAGGCCAATTCCTAAAGAAATTGTCGCCATGGTTGATAAAGAATCTGAAACTTCAGTTGGAGGCAACTTCAGGGCTTGGCCCAGCCCATCGGGCTTGACTCCGTGAGGAGACGGCGCGCTCGCGCCTGGCCCACTGGCCGGCCCAAACCGAAAACGGGGGCCAAATGGAAAGAAAAAGGAATCCGAACATGGAATGACATTGAAAAGCGACCTGCTGGAACGGAATCTACAATATCAAGGCTTCCGAACGGGCATCCCTCGGCCATGCTGAACACAAGGGGCTTGGTGGCAGACCACAAGCTCAAGTCGGCCGTGGTCCATGTCTTCACTGGTTGACAAACCGTTTACCGGGCGTTTGCCATGAGCTCCGTTCGCATCTCAGGTATCAGCTTCGTCTCAGGTATCCCGCAGCTCCGTCCTTGTCCCAGCGCCCATCTCCTCAAGACAGAAGGAAAAGTTCAGCAGATTTTGACCCTTCTGCAAGGCAATCCTTCAACATCCAACGCTGACAAGTCTTTGAAGGGGGATTGTTCTCGATGTTGCTTGACATACTGCATCGACACTGTTGATTGATAATTGGTGCAAAGTATTGATATCAGGCAAGTAGACACTCACCCTGCCCTAGAAGTGGATGATGTAAAAAGATGTAAAAAGCAAAGGCATCGCGGCATCATAGGAATTTACCAAAACTGACACCTGTCACGTCGCTTTCTCCTGCCTGTGAGAAGGACCACATCACAGCACCCCGTGCAAACTACCCATCGGGTTTGAGAAGCTGAGCACCACGAGGAAACTGCACACCACCCTGCCACTTGAAGCTAGACAAATAGCAATAACGATGATGATGATGATGATGATGATGATGATGATGATGATGATTCATGATACAAAAGAACCTCTTCAAGTAGCTTGGGCGTGGCTTGGGCTTCCCCCGCTTGCTGACTCTTGTTGCCCGATCGAGGCACGGCCCGCGATGCAGCCGCCATGTGTTCATTTTCACCACGGCAAGAGCGAACGATGGTCGTAAAGGATGAAAGAAGCTACGCTGGCAACTGCAGCAGGCAGCAAGCCTGTTGTGAGGAAGTGGCTACAAAGCACTAGACTATTTGACAGGAGTCGGAGTGGAGCTCGTCCCAAAGAGGTGAAGAACAGACTCTGTGCTCATGGTCGGTGTTTTGCTTGAATCGCATCAACGATGGAAGCCACGCGTTGTAGATCAGCACATCGCATCCTGCTGGCTCTACAACCCCTCAACGACCCAGCACATCCCAGCACACCGATCAGGTCTGCATCAGCTCGGCGGGAAGAGGCCCAGCCTTGGGAGGCTTCCAAACGAGCTTCGGCATCGATGCGTCCACGGCCGAAGAGGAGCAATGGGAACAGGAGAGGAGAGGAGAGGCCCCAGAGATCCGATCCAGTTGAAATGACAGAGGAACTCGTGGGTGGACCCAACGGAACTGCTCTTGTGCTTCGGTCCCTACGGTCGCTCCAAACCCAAGTCTACCAGTGCTGTCGGTCCCGAGCAGCTTCGGCTCCCCCGCTGGTCTCCGAGCTCTTGCAGCTCTCCGCCGGCCTCGCGCTGACCAGCAGCGCGGCGCTTGCGCGAGACGGGTCCGGACCGGTCCCCCCGGTGTGGTGTGCGACTCAGACGATGAAGAGGTTCAATTCATGTCCGGGGCCTGGGGAGCCAGTTTTCAAGCAGCGGGGGGAGCGTCCAGTTTCTACCCTTTTGAGTGGAAATCTTGATAAGAAAAACAGACGTCTGCATCCAAAGCTCCAAGGAAACACCCCATGAGCGCTCGGCCTTCATGGCATATTGAACCCAGAGCGGATCCTGCGAGCGAGAAAACCGCTGCCACTGTGACCAGGAAGTGAAGTGTTCGCCGCGACGAGCGTCTAATGATGTCTAATGGCTTAAGTTCTTTGTGGGTTCGGAAGCGAAGAGCTGAGCACATGCCCACACTCCTCTGTTGGCTTCTTGCTTCAAGCCGAACAGCTCAGAGCTTCTTTTGGTCGAACATGCAAATACCGGAGCAAACAAAGTCACAGGACCAAAGATTGGCATGCAGTGCTCGTACCAGGACCCTCGAACAGGTCTTTTGTGGTGGCTCGTGACCTGTGAAGTCGGGTACTGGTAGGTGTCTTTTAGCAATTGGTCTCCATCTTTCAGAAGCACTTGACTGAAACACTTCTTTTTGCTGCCTTTGGAAAACCCCTGTTCCGAAGCAATTCTCCCACTCCTCAAAGGAGGAATCGGGCTCCCGAAGCAGGAGGTCACGACTGGGCGCGGCACCGGAGCTTTTCGCTTCTCATGGGGCTCAAGACCCTCTGGAACGGTGCATCGAACGGTGGGACTCCTGGCGCATCCCATGGTTTTTGAAAGGCTCACTCCTGAACAACCATCGGTTTTACCACCGGATCTTGGACGTGAAAGAACACCAGGCCAGCCGTTTTTGGAATGGTCAAAAACGGAAGGCGAGGCGACCAGGAAGGACAGTTTAACCCCAAACTCCTGGACCCCAAGGATCCCCAAGGTGATGCTGTTTGGAGCGACCCAAAAGAGCTACAGCCAAGTGCTTCAAAACCATGGCACAACGACCTCCCCACTCGATTGTTTCTTGGAGAGATTCTTCACCAAGGAAGCCGAAGCCCTATGTCACGCAGCTAACGCACACGCAGCGTCGCCGATCGCATGTCTGGCTGGTCGCCTGACGGTCACGGGGATCCAGATCCCTTTGTCTGACAACATCTCGTCGACCTCGAAAACCGGACCAAGAACACGGAAGAAGGCCCTCGGGCCTTCTTAGGAAAGGTAAGGTCAGTGTGCCTTTTCTGCCCTTTTCAATCAAAACCGTTATTTTTTCAACAAGCAGCAAGGCCTGAAGCCGATCCGTGCGCCTCGTCCCTCCTCCAGGAGACGGTGTTCCAAAAGAACTTGAAGCGAAGCGCTGACCCAGGGCCCTGTGGAAGGCGCTTTCGCCCAGCGGAACCCATGTCTGGTGCTGTCCTAGATGAGTGAAAATGGACGGCCCGGTGTGCCGTGGCCCAAAATGTCTCGTGGCGCAGGAAGTCCCTGAAAACCCTGCTCCAGAGCTTCTTGCTCCTTCTTCGGAGATCAGCATCGGTCCTAAACCGCAGCCAGAAAGGACATGAAAGGACCAAAGTGACAAAGTGACGACCTAGTGCAAAGGAATTGTCCCGAAACCCTTCCGGATCATTATCTCACACGTCAAAAAACTGCTTCCAGAAAATCACCCTTTCAGGCCGTTTCAAGCCGCCAAGCTACGGAATCCGCTTGGCCATTTTTCCACCTTCCCCACGTTCCCACCGCATCGTTCGGTGCCACGAAGCCTCGCTGATCCAGTCGCAGGCCACACCGAAGTCGCTACTGGCGGCGTCGTCTCGCCGTCTCCGACCGACCGAGTTGGTCGAGATCGCACAGCGTCGGACGGTCGCGATCGCGGTCGCAGCCTTTTTGGACGGAGAGTGGGGGGCAGAGTGCGTCTCCTCTTCCAGAGACCGCTGACCTTCAGTGACTGATCTCTTTTTGAGTAACCTTTCTGCTGTCGTTCTATAGCTTGCAGTCACTCGATTCGTCATTTGTTGTGGCACCAAAACAGGTGGTATAGGCGACAGCACTGGTCTTCTCAGCATCATTCAGAAAACAAACTAAACTAAACCAAACCAATGGAGGCATCATGTTCAACAGTCACATCTGCCTCACCTCTTTCATGCCACGTGTCCATAACACTTACACCCTTTTGGAAATCCACTCATCAACATGAAATGAACTGCGGAATCGGAATCGTGCTCTGTGTCTTGCAGAGAAAGATGTGTTAGACATGTGTTAGTTCGACATGTTTCACAAAGACCATGGGGATGAGAAACTGCTGCGGACCCTTGGACTACCGCACTCGGAACGGCTCGGCGTAAGTAGTCGTCGTCTTTGCAAAGGACCCCGGAGGGACCCATGGACAACTTGCCTTTGAAAAGAGAGAGAGAGAGAGAGAGCGAACGAGGCAGTTGCAGAAACGCCCTACGGCCACCTCTGTCTGTACTCTTGCCACCTCTTGACTCTTGTTGATACCCTGCAACATATGCCTTGATGACCAAGAAATGAAGTAATGAAATGAGATGTTCAGCACCGCTGTGGACGGGTCGATTCACTTTCCACCACCCCGTCAGGCTCGGCTCAGCCGCTCCGTTCTCTCAGCCGCAGCACCGCCAAAGGCCGCAACGACCGCAGCGATCCGTCCGCCAGGTCAGCGATCCTCAGGAAGGAAAGGCGACGAAAGGACAAAAAAGCCTTTGGAAACCATGGAAACACATGGCAAAAAACGTATCAAGCAAAAAAAAAAAAACACCTGCCATGTGTTTCTATGGTTTCCATGTTTCCATGGTTTTCCATGGCAATAAACGTATCAAGCAGTCGAACTGTTCTTTTACAATCAATTGCAAACGGAAAAAAACCGTCGATCACCTCCACACCGGGCGACCGCGGGTCCACGCCGAGAACCCCGAAAGGGAGCTGAGATCCACCGGGTACCCGGGCCCACTGGAGAGGCCCACTTTGATGCGCTTTGAGAAGCTGTTGAAAGAGATCAGACGCCCACTTCAGGACGTTTTTGACTAAGAAGGACCATTAGAGGCAGATCAATGGAGAATGGTTTTAAGACTAGACTAATAGAAGGACTAAGAAAGACTTCTGGATCGTGTTGAGGTCGATGGCTCGCTCCTCGCCACCGGCCACTCAGCTCTGGGCCTCGGGCGGCCGTGAAACACGGGGCCACCGCACGGGCGGTAGATGGACCACTGGACAGGGAAGGAAAGGATGAAGAGAAGGAGGAAGAGAAGGATGAAGAGAAGGATGAAGAGAAGGAAAAAATGGAATGGAATCCTGGAAACCCTGCTTTTTGCGTGCCTTTACGGTGCTCCTTTTAGGAGCTACGCAGCTACGCCTTGCTCCCCACCCTGCAGCGAAGCTGGCGATCGGCGAAGCTAGCTCAAATTTCCTCAGTTCTTTGGAAGAAAGATTGAAGTTTAGGCTCACACCTCTTGAAGGTGGCTCTTCTTCACTTCCTCAAAGATGGCCCAAGGTTCATTTGACTGGGCACGACACCAGGAAGGTTCAAAAGCTCCATTCCTGACAGGAATGGCCTGTCGAATGTGTTTCAAGCATGTATTGTTCATAAAATCTTTCATATGGTAAGAGCTTCAAACCATGCTCTTTCCAATGAAAAATGTTTATAGATAATATATTGATCTTCGACATCACGGCTTTGGTTTTGCTAGCACGCCTCCCAGAACTCCTCTGCCAGCTTCAACTCCTCCTCCTTTCCAGCCATGAAAGGAACATGTCAGACTCGGGATTGTGCAGATTGCCATCCGAGACTTGGCCAGTCTGACCATCCCAGACTCACACCCATTCCCGGATGCTTCACAACCACCCTTCGTCTTCGTCAGCACAAAACGAACGAGGCAACCGCTCTTCGGCCGGGTCGGTCAGGCTCTTCGAAAGGCCAAAAGGCAAATAACACATGGTATACCCAGGTGGTCAGCGGTCCAGTCTTCCAAAGCAAGGGTCCATCTCCGTACAGAATGATGACAGCTTCTTAGCAAAACCTGGGGCCCTGGAGAAACAGATCGTTATGGTGCCACAACCCACAGCCACTTCCTGGCGCTGCGAAAGAATTGAGGACATCCCAATGTCGCTCCTGCTGTCTTCTGTAGAGACGGTCTTGTTCTTGCCGAAACTTCTTCACCCAACTTGGCGGATTGAAAGGAATGCTGCTCAAAAGTTCAATATTAATGGGTTGGTGCCCCAACAATTACCAAGCAAGAATTTCATGTCTTTTGGGGGAACAATTGTGTATACAGTATACAAGTCTGACTATCCCTCAAGGTATGCATTTTGGTGCCTCAACAGCAACTCCAACTCACAAAGCTCAAGCATGGTCCAGCTCACCCACTGCCACGTCCCCCTTCGAGTGCCCGGCTTCTTGCGGTTCCAGGCCTCACCAAAACCGCGGAACGGGCACCGGTGACGCCAGCGAGACCGTCATCCGTGTCAGGAACGACCCCGACCCCGGCCCGGCACTTGGCGCTTTCCGGACGTCGGGGGGTAGAAGGAAACGCCCTGGTCGGTCGGTCTCTTCGCCGCCAGCGGGGGGTTCAGCCGGTCGAATCTTAGCAAGCGGCTTGCCACTTCAGGCGCTGCATCTCTTCCTGCGGACGTGATGACGGAATTCCCCAAGGGTCCGGGTGACCAGCAGAAGCCCTGAATGGAGGCACACGTTCCGGTTCTGCAAAAGAGGTGTGACAATGAATCTGGCGCGCGGGTGTGGATCTAAAAATGTTGGAAGAAAACGGACCTCGGCCCCAGTCCGGGGAGTGCATTTCATATATCACTGGGGAGGCTGATTCAGTGCAGGAAACCCACGCAGCTGACCCCCCGCACCGCGCGGCACTTGTCGATGGTCTGTAGGATGCTCTTCTGGCACCGGAAGTCCGTCGGTCTCAATCTCCTTCCAGCCTGAAATCAAGAACGTGAGGTGCTGAAAAATGCCTCAAATCACTGAACTGGCGAAAGAGAGGCATTCAAAAGTTGAAGCAAGTTCTTTGCTCTATAAATCATGTCCTATCAAGAGCAAGATCCAACTTATCCGCTACCAAACGGTATCAAGTCCAAGTGAGAATTTGCTTGTTTGTTTCGCTTCATTTCTTCACTGGTTGACAGCAGAATCAAAGCGACAACGCGTGTGCTTCCCCACATCCACCAACTTCACTCGATTCTTCAGCTCCTCATGAGTCGAGTGAGTGTGACACTCTCCAGTCAGACAATGTTCAAAGCAGCAACTTCGCTTCCAACCTTTGTCTCGGATGAATCAGACTCATTCCCCCTGTTTTTGGCACCACCTAAGGAAATTCCTGGACTCGGGTCATGAAAGAAGACCATTCATCCTAAGTGGTCTTTGACTTAGAGGGCATTCACCCCAACTTAGCCCAACGATTTTCTTGGATCGGACCCTCCCCGACGACGGTAGAACCCACCAGCATCTATACGGTGGAACCCGTGGTGGTCGGGAGGGCGGGGCAGCTTCGCCCGTCCTTGGTGGTCAAGGATCGCAGGTCCTTGAACTGCGCCACCCAGTCCTTCACCTTTGGACGGGGCGTTTTCCACGGCAAGGGTCCAACACCAAAAAGGAGCACCGAGCTACAGCCTGAGCTACAGCCATGGCACCGCCAGCCATGGACGGTTGAGTGGGAATTCAACCGTTTAGTCAGTGGATTGTCTACCAGGTGAAGCGGCCGTAGCTCACTTGGTGTAAACCCACTTCCTGCTGTGACGCGTGAAAGAGACTTCCTAACGTAGTGTTTGCAATTGCAAGTGAGATGCTAACTTCTGCTGGCCTTTCTTGCCTCATCTTCACACCATTCACGTGCTAATTTCTGTGCCTCCTTCATCTCTTGGTCTCCCATGTCCTGCATGGTGCTGTGGAACAAGTCAAGCCACCTGGCCGGGCAACGAGTTTTGTCCAGCCTCCGGAGCCTCCCTGGCACGACGCAGCGCGGCCAAAAACATCCAAGAACACCCAAAAAACACCCCCCAAAACTCAACGCTCAAGCCGAGCGAAGTCGCCTCTTCTGAATGCGTTGTCCTCCCTTTCCAAGTCGAATCATGGCTGACCTGGCGCAAGCGCTCGACGGCGCAATGGCTCGAGCATCCGTCATTTTTTTGTCCGAATGGCATCCCACCAGTTGTGTTTTTTGTTCCCAGAGCAGTCAGAGCAGCCGTCGCCGTTCCCACAGAAAGCATCTACCCATTCGCCATCTCCGAACTCCGCACAACTCCGAAACTGACCAATTCCCCCCCCCCGAAGCTCATTTGAGCGCTGAAGCGCTCGCTTCCATGACTCACCTAAGGACTCGCTGTGACTTCTTTCAGGCACCTGAAGGAATCTTTCCACATCTTGGGCTCACTGTTCATGGACCTGCCGAACAGATCGTACACCAAACCGCTCCCTCGCAGAAAACCGCCTATCCCCCTACTGGGTGACTAAGCAAAGGTTCGGCATCAAGGCCTCTGAAACTCCTTCATCATCTCCTGGTATGTCTTTGACCAGCCTCAGAGAGCAGAGCCCCTCAAACGGCAAGAGCCTAAACAAGAATAGAAGGAATCTTTCCAAAAGCATGGGTAGAAGAAGGACAAATCCAAACTCGCTTGCTCCCCGTAATAGCAAATCCCCCGACATGAAAACAAACCCCAAACCTTCGATCAAGCGTACACCACGCATGCAGTCTTCTGCCTCATCATCACTCGGAATCAATTGGAGAGCTAGTGTCAATCTGCGCATCGA